ACTGAGCCACCCAGGCGCCCGGGAAGAGCATTTCTTAAGACGGTGAAGATAGGAGATGTGGGGGGAAAGAAAGCAGAGCTTGTGGACTTGGCGTCCCAGGGCAGAGTCAGAACTGGAACCTCCCACTGGAGTCAGTGGTGTGGGTGAGCTTCGGTGAGAACGATGCGGGCAGGTCTGTGTTCACAGTTTTGGGGGACTGGTTCATGGCCTTGGGCAGGCTGATTCCCACGGCTCTTTTTTTGAAGCACGGTCCAGTAGCCCAAGGTCATTCCTCCAAAAAGCCACCAATGCTGGACACACAAAAAACAGTGGAAGGGCTTGAGGGTGGAGCACTGACCACAGCTCCTTGGCTGTTTAGTGACTGTGACTCAGGGGTAAGCCCTCCTTAAGCTTTGGTATACGTCCTTCCAGACTTTTTCCTACGGATACAGATTTCTACAACAAAAATGGTACTGTGTGTATACCAGTTTTATTTACCTGAGTTTATTAATAGGACATGGAGCTCTTTTCACGTTAAAGTAAGTCTATCGTTCTTTTTAAGGCTGCATGATGTATCTTTTAGTTGCTGTACCATGATTTATTTAACTGATTCCCTACTAACAGCTCTGCGTGTTTTCTAATATTTTGCTGTTAAGCACCACTTGTTCCCTTATGTGGTTTTTTCCTTTGGGGTATCCAGAAGGGTGGGGCTGCTGCACTGGGGTGTGTGCAGTAGCACTTAGGACCAGGCACCCCAGAAAGGTGGCTGCTCCCTGTCCCCAGCATGGATGGCCGGCATTTTCGTTTCATACGTTAGCGTCAGTCTGCGCTTTTGCCAACTACTCATTTGGGCCCTTTCACACCTTTTATTGGAGCGCTTATGTTTAATAGGTTTGTAAGCACTGTTTGTGAATGTCAGTTTGCCTACCCATCAGCTGCAGACGGATCCTCTCTTTGTCAAGTCTCTTCCTTCCCTGCCCTCAATGCAACTCGTGGATTTTTAGGAGCCAGCTCTGTTCATCTTTGACTCCATGGCTTCTGGCGGTGGTGGTGCTCCGAGGGATCTTGTCCAGAATCCCCAGGAGAGACATAGAGGGCGGGAACATACTGCCGAGGGTGGGTGCTTTCAGAAGAGGGCCACTTGAACGTGTTTGTAGGGATGGAGGAAAGGGGACAACTCTGGAGGCTGTGGAAGGGAACCCCGTCTTTCTACACAAGGACCCCATCCCACGTGCTGTGGGGATGAGATGAGATGAGACAGAGGAAGAAAGCAGAGGGAGTTGAGTTGTTCTGTGGTAAGTGGAGGAGAGGCAGGAAGATTGAGGTAGGTCATGACTTTTTTCTTGGTAACTGATACGGGGGGCCTGTTTGAACACCCCCCATAGGGAATTGGTGGGATAACACCCAAGAAAAATGGAGGGTTGCCCAGCAGTGCTGCAGCTGGGCAGTGCTGGACTCAAGTCTGTGAATGCACTTCTCAGTTAAGTGATTGTTTCCCTGGGTCTTAGCTGCACTGGACCAGAAGAGGGGGAGACAGAGAGGCCGGGGTTTGGGCTGGGTGCGCTGCTTGGCAGGACGAGGGTTCAGTATTGCCTGGCCGGCTCTGGGCTCCAGGCTGGTTTGTGAGAAAGGGAAGCTCCGGCGTGTGGGGATGGGGCAGAGCCCAGGATGAGAGGCCCTGCTGCCCCCACTGAAGGCATTTGCCAACGACACCCGGGTGCTCTGGTGCCGCGTGGGGGCAGGCGAGGAAATGCAAGGCTGCCCTTAGCAGCCAGCCACACGGAGGATGGCAGGAGTGGAGAAGAAGGTGGTGCAGTAGGTGGGCCTGAGCCAGAGACCCCGGAGAAGAGCAGGTGGGACGTTAGCCCTGTGCTCTCCGGCCAGGAGCTGCCTTATGGGCAGCCAGAGCTCAGCAAATACAAAGCACCTACCCAGTGAGCTGTCTCCTGTCTTGCAGAGGTGAGGCCAAGGGGGCTGAACAAAGCCTTTACTTCATCTCTTAGACGGGGTGCAAGGAGCTATTTTCATTTTGAATATTGGAAAAATTTTACTTAGGATATCACTACAAAATCTAATTGTAAGAAAATCTGAGATAGATTTAAGTTTGAGCATTGTTGATCTTCACAATCACTATTTTGGGGCATATTGACAAAACCGGAAAAATGGATTATTAGTTGAATAAATCTTTTCAATTCTGTCTACATGCACAGTCTTATCATTCTCTGAACGTGGAAAATATAAGTGCTATAATCCTGTATTATATTGAAGAAATACTATAATTTGAAGCCTGCACTTAACATTCAAAAGCGCTACTCACTATAATAAAGTTTGCTTTTCTTTTATAGGTGGCAAAGAAGAGTGCTTCATTTGCAAAGTCCCTTGTCGCACGGTTTTACTTTCAAAACATGTAAGTTGAAATATTTATTATTCGGATATTAATCACTGTTTTTTTTTTTAATTCAAGATTCAGTTTTTCATCACTTGGGGGGGGTCTGAAATTTTGTTTCATTTTGCTAGGTTAATCAGAAGATCTTACAAGATTTCTGAGTAAAGTACAATTAGGATTTGGTTTTGAATACCTCGTACAACTTTCTTTCTTAACCATAGATTGGCCCTATGTGTAGTTTGCTGTGCTGAGTTCTGGGAAATGAAGATGAGTTGAGTAGGTTTCCTCAGCACAATACAAGCTCCTTAAGAAGGAGATAGAGTCTGGATTTCCATGGGGGTCATATCGAATTAAGAGGGTTGGAGGAAAGGAAGTTTAAAGTGGGTTACTGTTGTAGTAGGCTTAAAACGCGGTCTTTTGTCCTCTCTGTGAAATACGTCAGTGTCACCTATTTGCTTTAAATTTAGTTGCAAAGAATTATTCTCTTTATACTTAGGTTCTAAGGTACATATTTGATCTGATGTTTTAATCTATAACAATCATTTCTTGCTGATTACACATATAATACGAAGTCACGCAAGACTTAAACGATACAGAAAATCATAATGGAGAAAAATCTTGTTTCCCACAGATATCCACAAGCAGGGGTATAGTTATTGCTGTGTGTGTTACTGTGGCTTATTTTTTTTACAAAATGGTGTTTTCTCAGTTGACTTGGTATTTTTGGCACACCCACACTCTGAAAAGACTGCATAGCATTTCAGTGTTGTCCTGGGGGGAGGGTGGTTTTTCACTGTTTCAATTTTACAGTGAATATTTTTTTACTATGTTTCTGCATATGTATAAGAACATTTCTGTAGCTTAAATTCCTAGGAGTGGAAAAATAAGGGCACAGATTTAAGTGTTTAAACTTAATAGAAAGCGCCTTATTTCCCTTAAGAAATGTGCCAGTTTAAACCCTTGGCCGTAGAGCCGGGTTCTGCTGGGTCACGCAGCTGGTCAGGCTTGCCTTTGAGGGAGGGGGCGCCCCTGGCCTTTCCCTGCCCTCCTGGGCCCTACTCTCCATTCATTTATTTTCTCTTTTCTTTTCTAGAAGTGTATTTAGAGAGATCTGTTTCCTTCTGTTTCCTGCTGTTGTACATCACTTCGAGCATTGTTTTTATCATTTCTAGATAGTCTTTAATCTCTCTTTTAACTTCCTTTTCGACTCAAGATTTATTCAGGAGGGGGGTGCCTGGGTGGCTCATTTGGTTAACCGTCTGCGTTCGGCTCAGGTCATGATCCCGGGGGGGTCCTGGGATCGAGCGCCACGTGGGGCTCCCTGCTCAGTGGGGAGTCTGCTGCTCCCTCTCCCTCTGCCTCTCCACCTGCTTGTGCTCACTCTTTCTCTCAAATGAATAAATAAAATCTTAAAAAAAAATTATTCAAGAGAGTGCTCTTTAATTTCTAAGAGGTTAGATTTTATCTCCTCTATTATTTTTGTGGAAAATTTTTAATTTTATGTCTCTGTGACCAGAGAATATGGACATGTGGTTACTTTTTTTAATTGTCAAGATTTTCACTATGGCTTAATACATAGTAATTGTTAATGTTCTACACATGCTTGAAAAAGTATGTATTCTTTTGTTCTCTGTGCGTGTGAGAGAGTGAAGTTGTTCACGGCACTGACGCTGTCCCGCACACCTGCATTCTGTGGGCGCTTCTAGCCGTCTCTCCAGGACCCAGCTCCTCTGTTCTCCATGGGCCACGTGAACGCCCTCCGCCATTCTTCCTGCTTTCCCTCCTGCTTCCTGGAATCTCTTCTCACCTGCATCCAGAGGGATCTGCCAACGTGGGTCGTGTGTCCCAGCTTCCTGGGAGTAAAACCATATCCCCTCATGCCCGTGGCTCTGTGGCCTGGCCTCTGGTGGACACCTGGTCCCCTGGCCGGCAACTCTGCCCCGCCACTGCTCCTGGGGCCAGGCAGCTTCCACCTTCCCCCTCATCCACAGCCTTTAGGTCTCTGCCTACGGCTCTGTATGACCACACCTTCCTTGACCTGTAGCAGGAAGGACACTTGATACCATGGCACAGTGTACGTGTGTTTGCATGCACACGCATCTGTGTGTGTGCACATATGGGAAGTAAGTTTCACCAAACAACTCCTATCCTTGCTAAATGCAGCGCCCCTGATGGTTTCTGTTCCGACTGGGTTTTTTGCTGTTGTTAAAACCAAACAGCTTCTGGACTGCAGGACACGCATCTGTGACCGAGACTGCGCAGCTGCACCAGCCACAGGTTTTGGAACATGCATCCTTCTCTCTTCCTGGCTGCCCTTTGCTTGGGAATGACCACAGCTGCTCCACAGCCCGACCAGAGCTTAGATGCGCACTGGTCCCGGTGGAAGGCGGCGCACGGGAAACTATATGACGAGAATGAAGAAGGATGGAGGAGAGCAGTGTGGGCGAAGAATATGAAAATGATTGAACGGCACAATCAGGAATACAGCCAAGGGAAACACAGCTTCACAATGGCAATGAACGCCTTTGGTGACCTGACCAATGAAGAATTCAAGCAGGTGATGAATGGCCTTAAAGTCCAGACGCGCAAAGAGGGGAACGTGTTCCAAGCACCTCCCTTTGCTGAGACCCCCTCCTCTGTGGACTGGAGAGAGAAAGGCTACATAATCCCTGTGAAGAATCAGGGTCTGTGTGGTTCTTGTTGGGCCTTTAGTGTAACGGGTGCCCTCAAAGGACAGATGTTCCAGAAAACTGGCAAGCTCGTGTCAGAGTGAGCAGAACCTGGTGGACTGCTCTCAGTCTCAAGGCAATGAGGGCTGCAGTGGTGGCCTGATGGATAACGCCTTCCAGTATGTGAAGGGCAGCGGAGGCCTGGACTCGGAGGAATCCTATCCATACTGTGCACAGGACGGATCCTGCAAAAGAAGCCTGAACAGTCTATCGCCAAGGATGCTGGCTTCACGGACATGCATCAGGATGAGGGGCCCCTTATGGTGGCGGTGGCAACTGTGGGGCCCATCTCTGCTGCGATCGATGCAAGCCTGGATACCTTCTAGTTCTATCATAAGGGCATTTGTTATGATCCAAACTGCAGCAGTGAAGACCTGGATCACGGTATTCTGGTGGTTGGCTATGGCTCTCAAGGAGAAGAACCAGAGAGCAAAAAATACCGGATTGTCAAGAACAGCTGGGGCACGGACTGGGGCATGCAGGGCTACATACTGATGGCCAAAGACCGGGACAACCACTGTGGAATCGCCACCTCAGCCAGTTTTCGCATTGTGTGAGCTGAAGGTATAAAGAAGACTTAGGGGACAGAATATGCAGAAGAGGAATTTTATCTTACAACTGATCATACTTTATTGTGTGGGATAAAACACTTGAACCACTGGAGATCCAACTTGTGATCTGATTTTGTGACTTCTTTAATTGCTGCTTTGAATTGCTTTGTGTGATTGACCTGTCCAAGAACTTTTGAATTTTTATATCTTATATTGATGTATAAAGTTTCACTTTTTAAAATAAAACCGTTTCAAAGTAGAAAAAAAAAAACCAAACACACTGTAACGGGCTAAGCTGATCTCCTGGGACCTGCAGTACGAATGCGGCCCACACCTGCTCCTTTTGCTTCACACACAGGGCACCACTTATATTTCTTAATTTGTTTGTCATTGAAAAGGGCTGTCACTGTTGCACACACAAAATAGTACACCGCCTTATCTGTCAGGTGGTAGTGGTGAGGAGACAGTGCAGACTGAAGCTGGGGAGCCTGCGGGAACCTGGGAGGGAGGCAGGCAGGTCTGCAGGACAGAGCCTCTGGTGAAAGCAGAGAGCAGAGCAGAAGGATGTGTGGACAAGAAGGGGGTTGCACTTAGACTGCAGTTGGCTGGTTCTCCAGCAGAGATGGAGAGGGGATGGCTGCAGCAGAGGGCTGCAGTGGGGAGGCCCTGAGCCCCGGAGAAGCCAGTGGTGTCCGGGACCTGGAGGCCATGAGTGGTCAGGGCACTAATCCTCATGCCTACTTCACGTAGGGCCCTGGGGAACTGGGAGAGGAGGAAGAACCCCCCCCAGTGGGCAGAACTGGGGACTGGAGCTCACTAGACCAGAGGCTCCTCTAGACAGCAGAGGCCTGTCTAATGAAGATGGCCCCAGGGCAGGAACCCCAGGACACCCACCCACAGGGTCTCTCTGACTGCTCTGTTCTCTTGTCTTCCCCTGACCTTTGAGGGATGGATTCACTTGTCTGCCCCAGGCCCCAGGTCAGAGGTTGCTCACGGTGGGGATGGGCCTAGTTCCTAGGATGCAGCCCAGATCAGGACCTGGAGGACAAGACCACGTGCCTGCTAGGACCTGGGTTTGGTATGAACTCAGAGATAGAGCATTTGGGGGGGTGACTTTTCTGGGTAAGAGAAGAGAGGAATAGACACCAACCACTGGAACAGCAGACGGGCCTGGCTGGGAGCTGTCCTTGGCCCTGCTGCCCTTCTTTCTGGGCCCCCAGCTAGACTCCATCTCCCCACCTGCTTCCCGTGAGCAACGCCACTCCAAACCTGGCCCCCAAAACAATCTCCTGGAAAGCCCCCAACTCAGCCAAGTGGATGCTGGTGACCCAGCAGGGCAGAACTGCTGGGCCCTGAGTGGAAGACCATACACCGAGTCCAGCCTTCTGCTAATGTGTGGGCGGGTAATTTCCCCTTAAGCCACTGAGATTGGGAGCTGTCTATTGCACAATTAGCCTGAGTTAGCCTTTGCCTACCATGTAACTTTTGGAATCAATTTCTTTCGTCAGTTTCCACACACAAAGTCTCTTGGGTATGCACTTCATCAATAATGTGGGTAAAATTGAAGTCTCTACAACCTGGACTCTCTAGTCCATAAGCGCGGTACACCTCCGTTTACTTAGATGTGCTCCAGTTTCAGTAATGGTTTTCTGCACAGAGGCTGTGTGCATCACTGTTAGCTTCACCCTCGGGTATTGATTTGGGATGCTGCCATACTCATTTCTTAAAATGTCATCTCTTTAGTGCTTATTGCTGGTGTATAAAAATTGGTTGATTTTCTTAGCTTTTATCTGGTGACCATGCTAAATTCACTTAATGCTATTGGCTGATCTGGAGCTTTTTCTAGACTCTATGCACAACCATATCATCTCTAAATGTTTAATCTCCGTGTCATTCCTCCCTTTCTTTCTCTCTGCCTTCTTGTTCCCCATTGCATGTCAGGTATCCTTTGTCTCTTTCTGATTTTAGGGTGGAGCTTCCAGTGGAGTATTCATGTGCACCTTGGGTTTCTTGCTAAGGTTTATCATGAGCCGTGTTGGATTCTATCAAGTGGTTTTTCTGTAAATATCAAGGTTATCATTTGACTTTTCTACTTTATTTTGTTGATGTAAATTGCAATTATTTTTAGAATTTTAAACCCACAGTACAATTTTTTTTAAAGATTTTATTTATTTATTACTTTAGAGAGACAGAGTGTGTGTGTGCGTGTGAGTGGGGGGGAGGGCCAGGGGGAGAGAGAGAATCTCAAGCAGACTCCAAGAAGAGCATGGAGCCCGATGTGGAGCTCGATCTCATGACCCAGAGATCATGACCTGAGCCAAAACCAAGAGTCGGACACTCAACCGACTGAGCTACCAGGTGCCCCTGAACCCACAGTAGAATTTTAAACACTGTAACTTGGTTGTGATGTGGTATAGTCTATATGGGCAGAGGGATTTGGGGGTTTTGCACCTCTGTTCGTGTGAGAACCGACCTGTAACTCTCCTTTCTTACAATGCCATTTTCAAGTTCTGGTGAATCAGGGTTTTGCTGACTTAATAAAAGGACTTGAAAATTCTTTCATTTTTCTCTTCTCTTGCAGATTTTTTTTTTAAGATTGGGATCATTCAGAGAAGGTACGTTAGAATCATGCCTGACATTATCTGATCCTAGAAGGCTTTTTGTGGGGAGGTTTTTAACTTGGGTTTTAATTTTTTAATTAGATATGGGAGTCTTCAGAGTTCCTAATTCTTGGGTCAGCTTAAGTGAGTGGTCTTTCACTAGGAGTTTGTGCACTTCATCTGAATTTTCAAGTTTCTCATCGTCAGTGTGTCTGCAGTCATCTGTATTTTCAGTGTCTGTGAGATCCGTAGTGATGCCCCTTTGTCATTGTAATAATGGTTGTTGTGCCTTCTCTTTTTTCTTCAACAGTCTTGCCTGGTTTTATTGACTTTTTATCAGTGTTCTCAGAGAACTAGTGTTTCTCTTCACTTTACATTTGTTCTCAGCTGTGTTCTTATTATTTCCTTTCTTCTTTTTTCTTTGGATTTAGTCTGTTCTGTAAGATGGGTGCTTCTGTCCACTGCCAGCCTCTCCCTCCTGGCATTTATGCTGTGGGGTTAGGGCAGTCCTCTCTTTGCCCTTGCCTGCATTGTATGTGTTTGGCTATTTTACATTTTTATTGTTTTTCACGTTGAAATAATTTGAAATTTCTGCTCAGTTACTCCCATGACCTGTGTGTTTTCTGAAAGTATATTGACTTAGAAATATTTGGGGATTTTTAGTTATTTTTACTGACTTTTATTGAAGTCTAATACAGAAAAGTGCACAGATACAAGTCCATGGCTCCAGGAATTGTTTGTGACCTGAACGTGTCCACCACTCAGACCAAGACAGGGTTCATTTCTGTGACCCCAGAGACCATGGCATGGCCTCGACCTTCTGAAGTCCAATATGCAGTAGATCTTCCTGCCGAAGCAAGGGTCTTTGTCCCACCTACCCTGTTGGTGGGTGGTTTCGTTCTGTCTGCACGGAGCCCCACAGGGCAGCTAGTGTGTGGTCACCATTCTGATCTGCGGTTACCCCACAGTCCCCTCCTCTCATGCTCCTCAGTGGCTCCTGAAACCCCTGCTCCCACCGAGGAACCATTTCCTACCTGAAGGCAGTGCCTTCTGTTGATGTCAAATTTCTCTGGTTTTTGTCTGTCTGAAAAGGGCCTCTTTTTTTTTGCCTCTATTTTGAAGCATATTTTCACTGAGCTTAGAATTCTTTAATGGACATTAATGTTTTTTTGGTGCTTTGATCATATTCCTTCCTTGTTTGTCTGTCTCCTTCCACAGTGTGGCTGTGCTGTGTGTGATGATGGTTGTCTGTGGAGTTGTCCTGCTTGGCTTCACGGAGATTCCACAGCTTGTGCAGTGGGGGCCTTTGTTAGACTGGAGAACCCGTGTTTGCTCTGTGTCCACAGCCTCCGGTGCCACTGGGGCCTCTGCCACATGTAGAATGATTGAGTCCTCTCTCAGAAGGCAGTGGACCCTAACAGACCAGTGACAGTGTTTCCAGGTGCTTGCAGTTCTGGTCCATGGAGTTCTTCATCTAGTTTGGGGTCGTCTGTGTGTGTGTGACGTATCTCTACAGACAGGCATGGTCCCCACTTGCTGAGCACCAGGCTCAGCCACGCTCTCGGGGGAACTCTGCATGGCCCTCGGGGAAGGCTCTCGTTTCTGCTGGCCTCACTGGGAGGACAGAGGCTCGGAGGCGTCAGGCCACGTGCCGGGGTGGCAGGTCTAGCTGGTGCAGAGCAGGGCTCACACGAACCTGGAGGCCCCGGGCCCTGTCTGTGGGTCGTGCCGCCCCGTGTGCAGTGGTCTGTCCAGGCAGCATTTTGCGGGGACCCCCGCTGTCCTGACACCACGCCAGCCCCCTCGTATCCCAAAGCCAGACCTGCTCCTGGCCCCTCCACTGTTCCTGCCAGAAGGCCCTGGCCCTTCAAGGTACAATCCCCAATTTCTACCACTGACCTAATTTAGTTACACTCTTGTTTTAGTGGAGTTTGGGGTCACAGATGGCCCCCAAACCGCCATCCTGACCTTCATGACTTGTTTACAGTCCAGACCAAAGACCAGACCGGAGTCACCCAAGACTCTTCCTGCACCTTTTCGGTCTGGTGTGTGTCCGTACTGTTCCTTCTGGTTGATGGCCGCTCCTCCCAGACTCCTGCCGCAGGATGGCTGCTGCCCGGGCTTTTATTGCTGCTGTGGTCAGGGGAGGAGGCAGGGCAGGTCTGCACTAGGGCTCGGAAGTAGGCAGACACCGTTCCTTCAACCCTTATGTTTTTAAATACTTTATGTTTGCTTGTTAAGTATCTTGCACATACTTGTGATTGGTTGAAAGCGTTCTCCTCAGCTTTTTTCCTTCTTCTGAGTTCCGTGTGTTTCCACCATGAAAGCCTGGCTTTGGGGGTGTCCTTCCAAGGAGGGGTGTGTCTCACCGCACAGATGAGCCCCTGTGGTCAAGGCCACTCTGCCCTCCAGTGGGTGCCCGGAGCCCCTTAGCACTGCCCTTTAGTCCTTGGACTGACCGACAGCCACCAGCAGCCAGGACACAGGCGAGCCTCCCAGGCCCCCTGGAGATGGTTTGTGGGGTGCTGATTGTTTGTGTCGTCTGTGGCTGATTCTAGATGTTCCTCCCCAGTGTCTGTACACCGTGTTGGGAGCAGTAACATGGACCCCAGCTCCCCTTCCCTTTCAGACCGACGCGGATATCCAGGCGCTGTTTATGGGCATAGACGGTCTGTGTCAGAAGTACTCCAGAGAGACCTGCCAGGTGAGCTCGACACGTGGCTTGCCCGCCCGGCATCGGAGACTCGCTGTTGTGATGACCTCAGAAGAGACAGGGTGTTACAAGCTCTGGAGACTAGTCCCTCCTGGGGTTCCCTGCCTCCCGTGGCTGCCCTCGCCGAGACAAGGCCATTGGCTGTGTTCGGTCGTTGCTGCTGTGCACGGGGTCACAGCTGTCGTTTGACCCTCACGATCTGGGGCAGACCTGACGGTTCGGGTTTGGAAGGGCCCCACGTCGAGGCCGCGGCTGCTTCGTGAGGCTGTCCTTTCTGAGGGTCACGGTCCATGAGGGCATGCTCTCCCCTGGCTCCCAGGGTGCCTGTCTTTCTCCCAGCCCTGCTCCCCTCACCTCGCCTGCCTCGCCCCCACATCTCACCTGCTGCTCCCCCCTCCCTCTAGTGTTGTGAATCCGTGCTCACCCCGCGTCCCGCCCCAGACGCCTGGCCTCCCGGCCGTCCCTGGACAAGGTGTGGGCCGCCGTTCTGTCCACGAAGCCGCTTGGGAGAGAAGGGAGCCCTCCAGCCCCCAGCCATCCTGCTTGTCCCCGTTCTGTTAACACGGAGCCCCCTGCGGGCCGCCTCCCACCTACCCTCTGGGGGAGGAGGCTGAGCGGGGCAGCATCCAGGAGCTGCCTCCAGCCAGGACCTTTCCCCTGGGGCAGCAGGCCGAGGGAGAGCAGTACCCACCCTGACCGTTCTGGGCCCATGCCTGTCTGGCTCCACCAGCCCCACTGAGACCTCCCCTCTGCACGGCCGCTCTCTAGCTGTGACAAAGCCAGAAGCCCCACGGTGTCACGGCTCTGCCATCTACGTGTAGCCCTGTAGTCACACGCACGTGCCCCAGAAGCCGCCCACGATCAGGCTTGGGAGGTCCTCAGACCCACGGCATTCACAACGACGGGCAGCCCCATGCTTGCAAGAGTCTCACCAAGGACATGGCGTTTCCAGACGGCCCCGCAGAGCGTGCACCCGTGTAGGGGTGGGGGGTGGGCTGCGGAGGCAGCTGCCAGGGACCTCCCTCACACCTCTGGGCCACACGTCCCACGGCCACGTGCCCATCTGTCCGGGTGTGAAGTGGAGTTTCCAGAGGCCTCACGACAGGATAGTGCATCGTCACGCACATTAACGTACTGGGCTCGTTACTCTTTTTTTTTTTTTTAAAGATTTTATTTATTTGACAGAGACACAGCGAGAGCGGGAACACAAGCAGGGGGAATGGGAGAGGGAGAAGCAGGCTTCCTGCCGAGCAGGGAGCCCGATGTGGGGCTCGATCCCAGGACCCCGGGATCATGACCTGAGCCGAAGGCAGATGCTTAACGACTGAGCCACCCAGGCGCTCCTCGTTACTCTTGAATGAATTGATAGGTATCGTAAATTCCTCTCGGTATTAACTTCTGATAGGGAAGCACTGACGGAGCAAACCCACATCGACAGTAACTTTAAGAGCGTAAAGCCACCCTCAGGCCGCAGCACAAGTGGGTGTCAGAACCACAGCAGGGGGGTCCAAGGAGGCGGTCAGGAGGTCACCCTTCCTGATCTAGTTTGGAAGAAGCAGAAATCCTCCTTCCCCTGAGCAGCTCCCTGAGCCAGGGCTGGCCCGTGTCGGTCAGTCAAAGCGTGGACACTTGGCTGCCCCTCGGGGATGGACCCACCGGGTGGCAGGCGCCCCGAGCTGTCCCACAGCTGCCCCTGCCCGTCACAGGGACCGGCAGAGAGGGTGCATATGTGCTCAGCTCCTGGTCTGGGCTTCCTCAGCCTCCGCACTTCATAAAAATCTCACGGAGCGGGTGCCCCCTCTGTGCAGGAGGGCACTCTCTACCAGATGAGGATCATGGCCCTTTTACATTTTGTTCTGCTGGTGTCCATATCCCCCACCCCGGTCAAGGCCGCAGCAACTCAGCCTGAGGGGCCTGACACCCTGGAGTCCCGGAGGCTGGCCCCTGCCTGGTACAGGTGGGTGGCATATGGCCACAGGGGTCCACGCTGCCCCTGGACTTGCACCAGGCCCCTCGGGACTCGGCGTCCCATCCACAGGCCCCTCTCCCGGCTCAGCTCCGCCCGTGGCCTGGTCCTTGCTGTGGCCTCATTGCCTTGTCCTGTCTGTGCCAGCCACGGAGGCCTGCACACTTGTTCTCTGCCTGTCCTCAAAACACCACGGGCCCGCCCACAGGCCCTGCTGAGCCCGAGCTCTTCTGAGGTCAAGCCCACCTGCCGGCGTGGACACAGCCCTGCTCCCAGATGCTCCAGGTGGGCCATCCTGTGGTCACTTCCAGATGCTCCTGCTTTCTGTTTCTCAGAATGGACCCTGCACCAGGACACGAGGTTTACGGGTCAGAGGTGTGTGATACCCTCTTCTTGCCGCAGGCACAAAACCCGTTGAGGAATGAGACCAAGCGAACAGACTGTCGGCCTAGTCCTGGCTGAAGGCGACTTGGGAGGGGGGGTGCCTCTAGATCTGCCAGAACGCCTCCCCGCTGTGCACAGCCCCCTCCTCCAGTCTAGGACCTGGCTGGCCCTTCTGTCCCATAGCACCTCACCCCCTCCTGGGAGCCAGACCTGAGAGCTGTCGCCGAGCATCAAGGACATTTCTGGGACGTGGCCTCATGAAGACGAAGATGCCCATGGAGGTGACATTGTAGGCCCCTCGTGGTGCCCCCACCACAGACTAATGCTCCAGGCAGAGCCTGTGTCCGTCGGCCCTTGTCTTGTGGAGCAGGGGCCCCATGCGGTGTGTCCTCCAGACCCCCGAGGGTGTGGAATCCCTGGGAAGATGCAGGAGGATAGGAAGAGGCTGTCACTCCTGACTGTGGAGGTGTCTTCTGGAGGTGGCCCGGGCCATAGAGGAGGCACTGAAGACCTTCTGTGGACTGGCCGTCTGGTCCATTGTGGTTTCTCCCTCAGTCTGTGCTAGCCCAGTGAGCCTGGGGACAGCACCAGCCGCCCTTCATGTCTGCCCACTAAGCAGATTCCTGGGGTACACTGATGGGGTGTAGGACCTAGAGGATGCTGGCCTCACATCCCAGTCCTGCAGGAACCCTGCCCGGGGGCAGCAGAATCAAGTTTTAGCAGTTACAGGGTGGTGTTCCCGGAGGGGAGGCATCATTGTCTGAAAACTTCCCTTAGGGACACCTGGGGGGCTCAGTCGGTGAAGCGTCTGCCTTCGGCTCAGGTCATGATCCCAGGGTCCTGGGATCGAGCCCTGCATCAGGCTCCCTGCTCAGCGGGAAGCCTGCTTCTCCCTCTGCCCCTCCCCCTGCTTGTCCTTTTGCTCCGCCCCCTGACAAATTAAATAAATAAATAGAACTTTGCTCAATGTGGGGTGGCTCTCTCCTCCCCTGAGTAAATCACAGATCGCTGTTTCTGATTTAGTTGGTGTTCTCAGGAACCTACCACAGATGCGGAAGTTGGGGCCCGTCTAAATGGAAGAGCAGAGGTGGTCCCAGGTGCAGTGGGCCCTGGGGGTCCAGAAAAGGTCCCTGGGCTCTCTGGGCTCCGCTTGGCGCTGTGCCCTTCCAGCCAGCCCCATCCACGTAGCATGTCCAGGGTGTTCCCCGTGGGTGCTGTTTGGTCAAGAGGCCTTCCCGTGATCCATTGCTGCGGCCAGAGGGATGGTACACTGTGATTGGCCCACTGGGTTGTGTCCCGTCCCATGGCGAGGCCCTGAGCACCACTGAGGATGCAAGCGAGGGGCGTGGTGCAGCCCTGTGGTCTGTGTGACCTCCGCGTGGAGCACGCGGCCTCCGCTCGCGTGTGCATCTGGGCCCGCGCCGCTGCACACACCACCGGCTGTGCTGAGCTTGGCTCCAGGCACGGGGGGGCAGCCAGCAGAGCCCACGCCTGGACCGGGGGACAGGGTGTAGGGAAACGGAGCGTGCTTGGGCCTGCACCGAGGTCCATCCCAAACCCTGGCTTCTGGGACAGCGTGCGTGTTTGCAGCCCGGCCAGTTCCTGTAGCTGACACGTATTCTCTTCTCAGATTTCAGAATTTCAAGAAAAGCACAGAAAGAGACTCTTGACCTTCTATAGAGAAAAGGTAACTCCCGTGACTTGCTGCCTAGTTAACCCAGGCTGTGTCTCAGGCGGCGGGCCCCTGGCTGGCACCTGTCCTGCTGACCCACAGCCCAGCATGGGTTCGCGTCTGTGATCAGCACGTGGCCACTTGGGGGACCCAGCCGTGGTCACGGGGGCAGTTTCACTTTGCAACAACACTGACCCATGAACATCCCCAGAACTCATCGGGCACTTTTCCACACACAACAGCTATGAGGTTGCCCTGGGGAAATCTTACAAAAGGACATTCAAGATGCCTGTATGCCCTATAAACACCCTCCTCTACACGGAAGGAGAGCAGAGCTTTGGTGAAAGCGGCAGTGTTCATCTAGTTTCGCATCTGGGGTGTAGACAGAGAGCTCAGAGGAGCACCGGGGCGAGGCTGCTTGCTGAGGCTGGGCTACACCGCACGGCTTCGCGCTGCCAGACGGCTTCCCAGCACTGGCTCCCGGGGCCCCTGGCGGCCTGCACGCAGTGCAGATTTACTCCGAAACAGCAAGAGGGCAGCTCCTGTGGCAGCCATGTTCGGATTCGTGGCTTACAACGTTGAGAGGGTCAGTGTGTGCTGTCTACACTCTCCGCTAGTCTGCCTGATAACCAGAAGTTTGATTGTGTTTAGATCACAAAGCTGGAGGAATCCCTTCGGAAGTCAGTGCTGCGGATGGAACAGCTTCAGAGGTGAGTACTCTCCACGGGCACACCCGGGGCAGCTGACTGCTGCCCGCTTGGCCGCCTGACCTTGTAAGACCTTGTAACCAAGGAGGAGAAGAAAGAGCACTTTTATTTACTAGAAGCTTCTGTCAAAGCAAAAGTGCAGTGGGAAGCAGAGGGAGCTGTGAAAACACACAGGACTGGTTCCCCTGGGGGGCTCCCCAGAGGGTCCTGGGGCTGAGGGGCTCCCCTCTGCCAGGAATCATGGCGCCCGTGACAGTGAATGCGTGCAGCCCATGTGTCTGTCAGTGTGGGGCCCGCGGTCTACCCTAGGGCAGCATCCACACGGCCCCTTTACCGTCACGGTGCCTTCTGTTCTGTGAGATGGACTGTGTTCTCTCAGGTGTGTTAACACGGGGACTCTGCGGAAGTCCAAGTTTGCCGGGTCGCATGTTAGGTTAAAGTCTGCAGAGTCAGTGGCCCTGGGGAGCTGCTGTCCACCCAGCTGGTCGCGTGTGCAGGGGTGACCCCCACACTGCAGGTGGATGCTTGCTGCCGGGGGCCCTGGGCAGCTGGAAGCTACACGGCCACCACGCGGCCTGTCTGGGGTAAATGGGCTGCCGCCAGCCGGCACCAGGGTGAGGGTGTGCTCTGGGCGCCACACACTCCGGGGAGATCCGGCCCCGGCTGGCACAGCAGTGGAGGTCCCGAGAGGCCGACCCAGTGGTGAGGCCCTGCTCCGTCCGAGTCCAGGGAGCGGCAGAGAGGGTGATGCGCCCACGCGGGGTCAGTCCTTGGTGTCCAAGTTCCTTTCTTTCTGGGGAACCGCTCCGCAGCCACTGTCTTTCCCCAGGCTGCTCCCGTGTGGCCCCCCGGCCCTGCTTCTGTGCTCAGCTCTGCGCTGCACACCTTTTCCGCCTCGGGTTCATTTTGGCTGCTCAGTTATATGTTTCTAGAAGGTTCCTGGTCCTTTCTGCCATCGTGGGGTTAGCTTATTTTTGTCCCCATCTTCTGTTCAGGCACATCACAGGCAGGGTATCTCCCACACCTGACTCCTGCGAGTCCGGGTCTGCCTGTTCTCCCCGGGCTCTCGCGCCAGGTGGAGCCTTTCTGGCCTGGCTGGGGCGGGGTCATCCGGCTGGCTCGCTCCGCGCGTCCCTCGCTTGGGGGAGGACGCCCTCACCCAGACCGCCGCCCGCGCACAAGGAACAGAAGTCATGCAGCGCGGTGTTCACCGTGGGGGCGTCGGGTCAGCTCTGTTGTGGTGCTGTGTCCTGGGGAGGCCAGCACAGAACAGACGTGTGTAGGGAATCCAGGAGCCAGTGCCCTCGGAGATGCTGGGTCCCCACAGTGCAGACGTCTGCCTGCCCCCACCCCCTGGTCAGTGAGTCACTTGGCAGGTCTTTGTCAAGCACCTGCTTGTTCCCAGCACTGGGCATGGGCAGGCTAGAGTGAGCGCAGGCCACTTGCCTGTCCTCAGGGGGCTGCTCTGGGTGGAAAGTGAGTCTGCGTGTACGTGAGGCTGGCAAGAGATGGGGGGCCGGGCGGACGGGGAGCATCTGGCTGTTTGTCATCTTCTACTTCAAACTGGAATGAATTACGTGGGAGTAGACGTTTACGGTTTAATTAACACCTTCTCTCCATCTGTTTAGTATGAGATTGTCACAACAAACAGCTTTCAGCGCAATAAAAACTCCAGTTTCAAGTAAGTAACATGGGGCCTGAACGGGGAGGGCTATGAAGAGGCATGCAGCTGGGCTGGCTGACCGCGGCCTAACGCTCAGACCTCCACCACAGCTCCTTCAGCAAAGCCAGGCGGACACCCGCTCCTGCCCCTTGACTCGTCAGCCTCTGACAGGTGTGTGCCCGGTGGGAACGTCCGAGGGCCCCTGAGAGTCACGGGTCTGACAGGTCACACGGCCCTTCCTCCAACACACCTCCGGTTCTCCTCGGCCCCCCAACCCTGCAAGTCCCCCGATGCTGAACAGCTCGGTGGATACCCAGCGACACTTAGCACAGGACTCGGGAGCTTGGCCCTCCCTCCGGCTCCTCTGGGCCCTGCAGAGCCTCACGGGCACAGCCCCAGAGCCAGGTGTGTGGTGCAGGCTGGCCCATCAGAGCTCCATCCCCACAGTCGTTGCGACTGGTCGGGGGCCATCCTGCGCCCATGCTGGGCTGATGGGCGGCGGCGTGCCTGGGACTCTGGTCTGGGGCCAAGATGGCCAGGCTGGGGGAGGCGCTTGGAAGCGAATGCAGCACAGAAAACAGGACAAGATACCACAGCTGTGTTGGTGGCACCCCTGGGGACCCTGACCCACCCTGGCTGACGGGAGCTGCACCCCTTGCCGTGGCGCTTCCCTGAGACCGTTGGGGTTGAGTCTGGGTGCAGCACTGGCCCTTTCTGCCGTGGCTCACGCTCGGCGGGCGCACGGGTCACTCCCCCACCCTTCCTCTGTCCTTCCTTCCGCCATCTCTCCTGCGGGGCTGCCAGACGACGCTTCCCTGTCACACGTGGGCTGAGTAATTAGGGGACTAACATTTACTGAGTACCCGCTGTGTAAAACGTGTCGGTCAGGCAGTAAGTGTTAAGGAAAGTAGATGAGGTGTTCTGCCTGCGCTGCAGGAGGTTTGGGCCTGAGTTGGAGGGGCGAGGACACGGTTGGCCCACTGAAGAAGGAGGGTGTGGGGCGAGGAGTGGAGCAGGGGCTCCAGAGCGGGGCCAGGGCCCGGTGGAGAAGCGTGCCCATGTGCGTCTGGCTGACAGGCCGTGGGCAGCCAGTGAAGAGCCCGATGCACGAACGGACAGAGTGTGGGCCTGGACGGGGTGTGGACGAGACCCAGGCTCACTAAATGTATCCCACTGTTCATTTAACAGAGTGGAGTTCATGCAGGTTGACCATACTCCTTCCCCAATGAGAAAAGTAAGTACACCTGTTCCCCGTGCTGCTTGTCCCCCACACAGCACACAATTGTGGTTTTCCTCAGCGCCAGGATACGTGAGCGTTTGTGTAATGGACGGATCACAGCGGGGTCTCTTGTCGTGTGCTGGACCAAGGGGTGAGCAGGTTGGGGTGTGGTTTATAGAGTAGGTCCTGCATGACCCTGCAGGGAGCCGGGCCGGGACTGTGACTGAGGCACAGGGAGCAGGCGGGTGGGCAGGGTGGAAGTGATGCTGTGTAGTCAGGATCAGCCCTGTCCAGCCAAGCGGAAGCGTGAAGGGCTCTGAGGAACAGAGGAGAGAAACCAGAGCAGAGGAAGCTCAGGGCCCCAGGCCTGGCCCAAACAGAGCGTGGCCAGACTGCCCCCTGGCCAGATGCGGGCAGCTTGGGAAAGGGGTGGGGGAGCTAGTCCCCAGGCGGAGGCTCCTGGGGCCTGGAGAGGGAGCGACCAGGTCGGAAAAGTGGCTCGAGCAGTGCGCGGCTGGTTGGTGCACATGGACTCGTCAGCATTGGTAACTTAGCCAACACAGCGCCTAGTGCTTCTTGTTTGCAGTCTCCTGGTCGCCCTGGGAGGTGCACATGGGTGTTCAGGCTGCTTAGTGAGTAGTGCTCGTTTCCAAGGGAGCCGTCCTGGAACCATATTAAGGAGGAATCCGGATTCCAGGATGAGCAGGTGGGAATGCAAAGCCATTCAGAGCTGGGATGGAGGAGACACCCCAGTCCCTGGCAGCTGGTGCCAGCGAGTGCCTCCTCCCCTGCCCATCTCCAAGCCCCACGTCAGGTCCTGGACGGAGACTGAGGCTGCACTTCCTCCCTGCCCTCTGGGTCCCAGCACCCCCCACCGCCTGCTGGCCTTTTTTCCCCAGAGGCTGGACCCTGAGCCTCACCTACATGTGGCTTAGTTTTGGAGATCCGAGACTGACAACCTAAACTGATTCATGTGTCACTGGGTGTTACAGCTGAGGGACCAGAACGTGGGGAACTGTCTTGAAATTGCAGAGTGACGTCCTGGACCAGTGGGAGCCCGTGCTGCCATCGGGCAGATAGGGGATAGTGAGACTGCACAGACGTCTCCAGCAGACAGGCGTCCAGGATGGAAATGAACGGGTGCACCTGTGTTCAGAGACGGGCTATGGGCTGCCAGAGCAGAACGCAGGGAGACTTGTCTACCCTGTCGATCCCCGCCCGGCCACTCCGCCGGCCCTGAGAATGGGTGCATGCGAAGGCACCTTGGCTAGAACGCTGTGCACACCCAGCAGGGGCGGGGTGAGTGCTGTCTCCTGGCAGACCCAGGGTGGTGCAGCCGGCCTGCGGCAGGGGGCGGGGGAACAGGGCTCCGGCCAAGCGAGGGGCGTTGTCTGGTGTTTCTGGCAAGGTGAGTGGCCATGGCCATGGGGGAAGCCGAATGAGGGCATCACAGCCAGCGGAGAAGATGCCGTGCCCACCCTACGACACCTCAAGCAAGCAGCCGGGGGTCAGCTGCCGGGGCACGGCCTTCGCCAGTCCCGGGGGGCCTTGTCCTTGCTCCCCTGCTGCCCAGCGCCGAGCCTGGGGTCCTGGGAGAAAAGGCGAGCGAGGCAGAGCCTACAGGTGGACAGGGTGCTGATGGCGCCTCACACGTGGACCAGGCTTTCCCAGCCTGCGACTTCCTGCCGGGGACTCACAAGCATCAAGTGAACACGTCCCGTGACTCACGAATTCGTGAGGGAAGCTGGTAAAATGTGAACGCCAGCTTGAAGGAGAATCCCGAGGACAAATACACGTCGGCCGTCGAGAATGCAGAAACGAGTGCGTGAATGTGCAGACACGTAACCAGCAGCTTCCACGTGGCACCCCAGACGGGTGGGGTGGCTGTTGTCATGTGACTTCAGGACCAGGAGACCCCGACCCCATGGCAGCGGACACCCTGGTGGGAAGCTTTGCACATCCATAACCTCCTGACACTGGGGAGTCCTAGATCTTTCTAGAGTGTTTATTCTCTCACAGGAAAAAGCCTGCACTGAGCAAGTTGTAAATAGAGGGAGAGCCATAAAGCTGCATTTGATTCAGCCCCTGAGCCGGGCCTGGTCCGCATGGGGCCGGCAGGCGGCAGGTGAGGAAGCCCGCCCGTGAACGCCTGCCATGTGCGGAGTGTGCTCTTCCTTGGAACCATCTGCCACGTGCTGTCTTCTCGGATTTCCTGTGAACTCCTCGCCGCCCTGTAGAGCCCTCTGCCCTTGGAGCCACCCCCAAAATGCAGCCTGGCGTGGGACATCTCCCACGGGAGCTGTGGCTTCCTCGTGCTGGTCCAGGTCGGGTCTGTGCCTGCTCTGCTCAGAATGGGCCTTCAGCCGGGGCCCAGGGAGACGGTCGGAGTTCTGCATGCGGCTGAATACAGCAGCGAACATCCCAATCCTAGGCAGTAACTCCCAGTCATGCTCCAGAAAACGGGTCCTCACAGGCCCTGTCCTGGTACCTCTGACTCCTGATACCCATGGCAGCACCTGTCACCCCTATGGCCACACAGCCAGGCTGTGCTGTGCTGTGCTGTGGCCACCACCCTGGGCAATCTGGGTCTTTGTATCCTTTTGGCTTCACCTGTTACTGGTTTCTCCCTAGAACAAATAGAAATCCTTTCTTAGTAGGAGCTAGGGTGAGAAAAAACAAGTTACCCAGCTCTAATCCAACTTAGTAATTTTTGCCTGTGCTCTATGATGATAATTTTTCTGGTGTTGCAAATACTCTGTCAGTTGTTTAGAACTGGACGGAGGTGGGGGTCAGGAGCACAGCCCCGTGGGAGGCTGTGAGAGGAGCAGGTGCAAAGGGCTGCTGGGGCGCACGAGAGCGGTGGGCATCTGGGCATCCTGACTCAGTGGGTGGCCATGCAATGGGGAGCCCCGGGGAGGGTGGGCAGGCCAGGTACTCTTGACTTACGCTCTGCGCAGCAGCAAAATGGTGCGGTTGCCAGGACTGGCCCATGGGAGGAACCCAGAAATAGTGGGACCAGAGCACGAGCCCATAGGGGGACAGCTGCAGCCAACCCACCATTCCCAAGGATGGCCGGGAAAGACGCTTCAACTTGGGAAGCTCTGTCCTGGTGTGAGTGTGCCATCAGTGGGTGTGAGCGTGCTGTCCTGGGTGTGAGCGTGCTGTCAGTGGGTGTGAGCGTGGTATCCTGGGTGTGAGTGAGCGTGCCGTCAGTGGGTGTGAGCGTGCTCTCCTGGGTATGAACGTGGTGGTCTGGGTGTGAGCGTGCTCTCCTGGGTGTGAACGTGGTGGTCTGGGTGTGAGCGTGCTCTCCTGGGTGTGAACGTGGTGGTCT